ATGGCATTTCCATGCATTTAAAATTACTGTGATAATCCGTGAGACAAATACTGCATCTTTGTTAACCAATGTTTGGTTATTTGGTGATCCAAGACTATATATCTCTTGCAGATGCAACCTACCTCAACAACTACTAAAACTCTCGAAGTGTGTAGGTGGATAACTGAGTAAAAAAGAGTTTGTGGTGATTTGGATAGAAAAGCAATATAGGATATGGAATCATGGAAGGCTAATCCAACACCTGGTATAGGCAAACACCGATATTCTCACTTCTGTCCTTGCTTCTGCCTGAATTCCTTTTCTTGTCACGTATGGTGGTTCTTGATGGGTTTTTGTAGGTCCAATTTCTACTGGATGCATGTGAATAGAACCCTCCTATAAGTCTATTAGGATTGACTTTGTATCAATGAGATCTCATAATTTATGCATTACGAGTAGTTTGGTATATTCATGTCATAATATTAAATCAGCAAAATTTATTTTTTAAAAAAACATATGATCAGCAACATATAGCATTCTTGTTAAGAACTAAAACTTGTACAAAGAAAGTGGATTTGTGGGTGGAATCAGTATTTACAAACAAAAGTATTTGGTTATTGGAGAATCACTTTCGCCTCTTTTTCGACCCTCTTTTTAGTAATCCGATTTACTTAGAACTATTCTCCAGCTAAATGCATTTCTGGATACTACATTGATTTATTTCTATGTGCAGGATACAAGAATACAGGACAAAGGAAAGTGGAGGAGGGAAAAAAAAGGTAAATGTGATTCAGAAATGTTCTTCTATACCAGTGCTACCCTGTAACTTTTTATAACTCAACTAATATGATTTTTGCAATGGAAGAAAATAATCCAGGTTGTCAGTTTTGTTCCATATCCTGGAAAATAGAAATGGGAATGCTGCGTTTTTGAGGGATTTATGATTCATTACAAGTTAACATGTTGGGGCTAACTATGAACTATTTTGCTAAACCAAGTAATTTAATGCATGGCATCAGTTTCCAAGTGTCGTACTAACTAAAATCGTTCTTGTATGCGCCAATATTGACTATTGTTGACATCAGCTAAATGTATGACTCACTTCAACTAGTTGTCCTACTAACTCAGCTGGTACCTAATTCTACATCTGTTGTACAGTTCTACATTAGCCATTTGTAACTTTAAAATATTTTTTCAACGCACCAAATAAATCTTTTATTCTTTAGGTGGTCAACAACAAAATTTAACATTATGTGCGTGTGTATCTATATATCTCTCTCTTTTGATGAGAGCTACTTATAGTCACTTCGAGATTTTCTTAGAATAAATTATTTAGGAATTTAAGTTCTGTGTTGTTAATCCGATTTTTTATTTTTAAAAGTTTCCTTCCCTTCATAAGAGTTCGTATGGATGAAAAAAGGAACTATTTTGTGCCTAATTTGGAATTATAAACAAAAACAGCGTTTACTCTATTTACAGATAGTGAACTTACATTGTAATTTCACATGGAGTAAGAATAGCTTATGGGCGGGGCTGAGTCCGCCTTGTAATTCATAAACATGGGACGGCCGGGTGCAGAGTAGCTGGGCCAACTATCTCAGCTTGCCCAGTCAGAGTCCCTCTCGTAATTCGTAAATATGGGACGGCTGTGTGTGTGTGTGCGTCTTGATATCCTCTTGAGTCAATTTTGGAAAGAAAAACTGGAACGCCCACAGTTGACAATTCATCCCAAAGCCCGATCAGACAGCCCCATTTCGTACCTCATACTTAATTTAGTAAGAGAAGGATAGAATCCTGTAGGAAAATAATAAAATTAAATTAATAAGTACGGGAATTAATGAAGTTTGGAAATACATTATTCTAACTAATCTCAATTAAAATTTCATAGACAATTTTTATCATCTTCTATTATAATTTTCATCCCTTCTGATTGGACTAAGACTTCGCAAAAATTCAAATCCGAACATAGACTAGAGTTTCTTGTGGGGAAATGAATGGAAAGACAAGTTCATACTCGGGACTTTACATGGTATGTACATCTTTATTTTTTCTTTCATCCTTAAGATTTAAGGGGAATATATCCCATTAGAAAGCTCATGCGGCTCGTCTTGAACCAACATGAGAATGAAGACATACCAACTCCGACAAAAGTAGATGGCACCGGTGGTAGTAAAATCTTGATAGTTAACAACGGCATCCTTCATGCATGTATAGCTATGCAACATAATTATCTCATTAAACATACCAGATGCACATCCAGAAAGCATCTTCAACAGGAAATCAAATTATCACTTCAGTAGATCGGATCCTCCCTTTTGTTGACAAGTATTCCATCAGAAACCAGTGAAGGCTTTTATGGTGAAATGCCTTTGAAACTCATAAATCTTCTTTTGATTATCACGATATCTTCCTTGCTGATGAAATCTTCTCCTAGTGTGAATTTGGAGTTTGTTGTCGTTTTCTGTTTTCCTGTTTCTGTCTATGATCTTGACATCCCAAGCTTGTTATAAGAAACCTCATTGTTCCTTGGACAAAAGCTGTACATTTACACAATTTTATAAGGTCAAGTTCCTCTTCAGAAGAAAGAGTTAGTAGGTCTAAGTTCCTAGAGTTGATTCACTTCTAAAGGGAGTAACATTAACCACAGAAGGTAAGCCAACAAAAGTGAGTAAACTAGATTTTCGTTCATGTTGGATTTTTGTGCTTGGTTGGGCAAAATAATAGGTATCTAAGGCTGGGTTAAAATTACAAAGAAAATGCAAGCCAAGTTGATGACTTGATTCCTAATGCAGACAAATCTCCAACGCGATTGAATCTGCAACTAAACCCACGCTACACTGGAAACATAAATACTATATAACAGGAAAGTACCTTCTCTGAGCCAACCTTACGGAACTGATACAATATCTCAGTGAAATCTGCCGGTGGTGGGCGTGAAAAGTTCATATTCTCTCCTGTATGTGGATGCTTGAAACTGGAATGTATAAGCAAAGTTTAAATTCTATATCATTTTATATTTCTAAAATACCAAATATTGAAGATGAAGTAAATTTTCTTACCCAAGGGCTAAAGCATGAAGACAAGGCCTCTCTAGTCCAGAAACCAGTTCTGAAAGTTGGTCGTGATAACCAGGGGGCGTTCTTGGCCGAAGCAGTGACAAGGCCATGCTCTTTGTGCCTCCATACACCTCATCACCAAGTAGAGGAATTCCCATGTACTTAGCGTGTGCACGGATCTATCCAAAGGAGGTAGACAGATTTTGGCATTACAAGTAGATGAAATGATGGCGCACATGTTTCTATATATCAACAATGACAAAGGGCCAGCAGTATATATGGTCCATTTTATTTAACCAATCCAAAAACTCATAATCCTAAATATAGTAACAATATTTTTGGAGATCTTATTCTTTTCCCAGAGTGATCACAAGCAAAAGGTTTTCATTCTAGCTGAAGGCCTTAAAAGGTCTGGTTCCGTTTTGGTGGCCATTACATTGATGAATTAATGTCATTTGCCCTGTAACAGATGCTCAGAAAAAGAAAAACGTTCGACTATTCAACTGCCAATTTCAAATGAGATGCTGTGCAGTACCTGATGTGTGCGGCCAGTTTCCAGTCTCCACTCAACCAGTGCAGAACCACCCCCAGCAAGTATTTCAATTACTTTGTACCTGAAAGAGGTTCAACCAAATTTGAAACACATGCAACATAATCCAACTAGTCACCACCTTCTATGGACCCTACATGCCAATTGTGAAAAAACAGCAAGATAAATAGAATTATTTATCATAACCAAGGTTTGACTGTAGTTCCCTTGGGCTCTTCAAGCAACTATGTAAATTCTCCTACATTGATCCATATTAGTCAGTCAGCTGAGGATTTCTAACAGTAGACCAATAAACTAGCAATAAACAACTAAAGCTAAAAGTATATGTTAGTTAGACGAAAGTTCTTATAATTTCAGCACACACGAACACCCTAATGATGTTTGTGGTAATTATTAAAAATAACTGCATACACACACTCTCTCTCTTCTTTTCCTTCAATGGAACATATATCATCAATTATGATGCTTTATACACACACATATATATAGCGAGACTGTGATGCACTTTATCAATCGAATGATGTAAGTTTTATTTTTTATAAAATAACAAAGAATTTTGTATCACCTACTAATAGCATGGCGAGCAAGCCCACGGGTTATTGATCCAGGCATAGCAACCATGCGAATTCTGTTATTTAAATCACGCCCTATAGGAATGTCGATACGTCCTGAATGCGGGGAAGGCACTCCAGAAGTAATACTGATATACACTCTTCTGATGCTATGCTGCTTGAATTGTTCAGATAGATGGGTGTGAGCATGCTCATCCTGCACCCATATAGACAAGGATGACCAGTAAGTTTCGATGAACTACCAAAATACAAAAAGGAATCTCAATCTGGGGGGTATTAATATCAGCAGCTTAGAGAAGTAGGCAAATCTGTGTTGGGGACAGGAGGGAACTACCTTTGCTACAACAAGCAATCCACTAGTTCCTTTGTCGAGTCTGTGCACAATTCCAGGGCGAACAGACATTCTATCAATGCTAGAACAAAGGCCTTCATCATCAGAAACATCATCTACATCAGAATCATCTTCGTGGTCCTTATTGGTGATTGTTGGAAGTCTGCAATGGTGAAGAATCCCATTAACGAGTGTTCCAGAAGGATTCCCAGGTGCAGGATGAACAACCTGAATATTGAAACAAGAGCACTAATTTCAATCTGATAAAATAAATGCAGAATGTAATTTATAGTCTTTCAAAGCTAAAGAAGAAGTAGTTTTCAGGTGGAAACCATGTGTGCAGGCTTATTAACAACTAAAAGATGCTCATCCTCATAAATTATATCCAAAGGAATGTCCTCAGGTTCTGCCCTCAAGGGCTGCAACTCTGAAATTGTGCAATTGACCTTATCTCCAGCTTTGACATTGTGCGCAACCTGCAAACCAAATAATTTAGGAAATTCTAAGTTAAAATATTATTTCTGGATGATTTGTTATAATTGTCAATTTCTCCACTATAAGGACATGTAAGTTTAACAATCAATTGATATAATTATTTGCACAACAATGGATCATTCAATTGCAACAAGAAAATAATCCCACGCCAAAAAAGAAACTAGAATTTAACCATCCAAGCTGAAACTTGGCTTCTGAGAAATTTGAAGAGAACCAAATATAAAAACAACATTTTGTTTTTATGAGACGAAACACAACCAGAAGCAGGCAAAATAGTAAAAATATATGTCTGTATGTGTGCGTGTCTATATGGTGTAAAGCCCTCGTTTCATCCTCTACATGAATACTACATTCTGAACCCGAATTTCACTTAATAAAAACATAACTATGCACGAAAATTTCTACTTTGGATTAATCAGGCAAAGGCAAATATAGATGCATAAAAGAAAGAATTTGAGAAATCAACAGAGAGTATTGTAGTTAATCAAATAAAACCACTACCATTTCACCAGATGAATCCAACCTGTTCTCAATCATCCTATCCTATAACCTCTTTTATATGGCAAATGAAACCATGCCGGTTGACTTTCAAATAAGCGAACCCGGGGCCTTCTCATTAGTGGAAAGCCGCAAGCATTTTTCTCTCAAACATAAAAATGACAAGTCGGCTTACAAGAGCATTTGATTTGCCGCGTCAAGAACCAACAGAATCACAGATTGTTAAGGACGAATACAGCTTACCTTATCAACAATACGGCCGTTGACACTAACGAGTCCCGACCGAATGCTGGACTGCACGCGAGCTCTGCTGATGCCCTGAATGCGAGAGAAAATCCACGAATCGAGCCTGAGCTTGCCAGACCTGATATCAACAGTCTCTTCAAGCTTTAGGCCTCCGTAATTGGTTCTTTTTCCAGCGTAAGATTCTCGGTTCCTATCGGCACCGGATTCCCCACTAGGACCCGAACTACCTCTGAGGATTCTCAAAACCCTAGAGGGAGATATAGCATGGCTTCGACGAAAGAAGAGAAGAGAAGTTGAGAACTGAAGTGCTTTCGTGGAGGGAACAGAGCAACCATAGACAGGGTTGGGAGAGAGCATTCTCCCCTAAGCAGAAGCTCTTTTATCCTTTCCGTCCTCCGCCTATAAATGTTTGCTTGTTTCGGCTATTACTTCGTAGTACGAATCAGGTCACGAAAACGACACCGTTTTTGCCCCATAATTTGACTGATATCTTGTTGGTCTTAAAATGATGATTTTACAATTTTAATTTATTTATTTTTAAAAAATTTCTATACACTTATATTTTACAAAGTTTAGATATCTTTCTCAATTTGCAACTTGTTAGTCAGTTTTAATGTTGTATAAAACAATCTTGTCAACATGTTTATTGAAGTTTTCAGACTTTATAAAATATTTTTAGCAACTGATATATATGTATTTTATAAATTTAGATAGTAAATTCTCCGAATCCTATTAATGTACATCATTTTCATTTACATATTCGATCCATCATTTTATCTTCTCACTTTTAGTTTATACGTTAAATACATAAAACTTATTCGGTATAAGCATGTATTCTTATGATAAAAATGAATCAAAAGTGGCACAGACGATCAAATAATTTTTAGTGATGCGTCTGACTCATGTGTTCCCGCTCTCATCATAGTTGCAAACTCTTCATAATTGATTCTTCCGTCCTATACAATAGCATAAACAAGAGAATCCTTATTCCATACCAGATGGTGTGGATAAAAAAATTGTTAATTAGGATTTAGATGAAGGAAAATTTACCTTATCAATATCAACATCATCAATGACCTCGTCTATACTAGCATCGTCACCCATTCCATATTCAGTCATGGCTTGTTTCAGTTCATCTCTTGTGATAAACCTTATATAAAATCTAAATTAATTATGATCACAATGAGTTGAAGTTCTGGAAATTTAAATCATGAAGACCTCACTATTTAGCTTCACAAGGTATGATTGATTCATCGTGGCGCCAACTGTGAATTAAAGGAAAAATACTAACCCACTGCCATCCTTGTCAAAGTATTGGAAAGCCTTGAACAAGTTTTCTTCCTTCTCAAGTCTATGCCTGTGCATGGTGGCAGTAATGAATTCAAGATAATCAATAGTCCCATTGTTGTCAACATCAGTCTGACAGAAGAAACTAACTGGAGTCAAGAAAAAATCCAAGAGCTTACAGGAAGAAATTAGGGAACATTAAAAAGAGCATACTCCAGAATGTGTAAATAAGACTGTTGATGCCATTGCAAGACATATAACCAGTGAGTTTATTCGACATATAACCAGTGAGTTTATTCAACATAAACAAGGTAGTAGAATTGTTCTTACAGCCTCCATCAGTTGCTTTATCTCTTCTTCAGAAAGCTTAGATCCTAGCTTGTGCAATCCAACTTTAAGTTCATCGAGGGTAATTGTGCCACTTCTGTCAGTGTCCATGTTGTTGAACATCTGTTGCAAGCCCTTGATCTTTTCTGTTGAAAGGTTTTCCGCTATCACCTTCCAGACAAAGAACTTTTAGATTTGGAAGTAAAAGAACAGACAAAAGAAAAAAGATCACTCTTCTCACAGAAATACAAGTTCACTAAAAGAAACCTACACAGTCACAGTTATACCGCACTCAGACCAGATGGTTGTCAAATAAGTAAGTGCCACGTACTTCGTAAAATAAGGTTATGTTCAACTTATTACTCAGTCCAATGCAGCCTGACCTTTGATTTTTAGCACAAAATTTCTGGTTCAACTTCCTATGTCCATGTTTAAGATAAATAGATCTAAAAATTATCAGTTTTTCCCTAAGACTAGGAAGGATTATACCAGTAAAAACATTCTATGTTGCACATGGTATCCGCAAGAAGCTGCTAATTTTTTAAGTGTTTAAAGTCAGTCTTCTTATATTCAGGATTTTAGAGAGAAGATCAATTAAATTTGATTACCATTCCCAATAACCTCTCTCTTGCCATTAAGTGACATTTAATAACCATTCTAGAAACTAGGACTCCATTTGGTATATAGAAATACTTCAAAAAAATTTATTTTCTATTTTCATGTAGGTTTAGACAGATATGTGTGGTAGTTGAAAAGTAAAACAATATTTAGCAAATGACAGTAAAATATGCTGAGTTTGAAAGTACTAAAAATCTGTCTTTAGTGTTCTTTAGAAATTTACTTCTCATTCATACTTTACTACAATGTGGATAATCATGTAACAGATAGAGCCTAGTATCATTCCCATTTGATATTTGATTTGCAGAAGAACACAGCTATTATGCTGATTAAAGTAACTACCTTTGGATATGTAATATTTCAAGAAGAGAAGTATCATGATTACTGAAATCCAGCATTATTTCAACAAGGTGAAATCATACCTTTAGTGCAAGTTTCTTCATCTTGTTCATTGCCCTGAACTGCTTCATCCTACTAAGAACAGCACTATCTATGGGTTTGTCAGACGCTTCTCCATCCAGCTTCAACCATGGATGCTCTAGTTCAAATAAACAAAAGAAGATCCATAAGGTTATTGGTCAGAAGTACGAAGGATAATTCTTAAATACGGTTATGGAGAAAAAAGTTTTACTTCTATATTCTGACATCAGAACACATCTCAATATCATTGCTTATATACCCACAATATCAGGTTAATGTTACAGTTTCATTTTATACTTAGCAGGTAATCTTCCTAAATCAATCATTAAGAAAAAGGTTACCAGGTTTCCAGGAATTCTGAGTACCAAGGACTAGGCAATATTAAAATGATTTTGAGGATTTATTAACATGTACTTACCAAGGGCTTCAGCGGCAGTAATTCTTTTCTTAGGGTCCTTTGTTAACATCTTCTTGACCAGATCCTTCGCAGAAGGCGATATAGAAGGCCAAGGCGAGCTTTGTAAGTCAAGATCAGTATCTAAGATAGCTTTAAAAATTTCCTTCTCAGTTTCTGTAATAGAAGTCGTTGAATTGCATATCAGAGCCTTATAAATAGCTTTTAGTAAACAATTCTCCAGCAGCAAGATATCAATCTTAAATAGGTGAACCATTAGCTTATGGCCAACCAAGTGAAGTAACAGGATGATAAAACAAATTTTGGTGCTTTGATTTCGACATGATACACAAGATCTATTCTGCCGATAAAGATGCTGCAGCTAGGCCTGAAAATGGGATATATATATGTACATACGAGTATGCCTATTTACTGCTGTTATAGTGGGTATGCTGTTGTGAAGATCTATGTCAATGGAAAATATCAGATTTCAGTTATTTACCATGTCATTCAAACTGAAAGTGACATAAAGATTTTGAATTTACCAGCCCAAAATGGAGGCACACCGCATAGAAGAATATATAAAATGATTCCAGCACTCCATACATCTACCTCCTTCCCGTAGTTTTGCTCCAACAACTCCGGAGCAATGTAGTATGCACTTCCAACTAAATCCCTATACTTCTTACCTGAAGAACAGTACAAAGCTTCTGCTCAGCAGAATGGCATAATATTGTCATGATTACACCTGGGTCACAGACTCACATGTGACAGACCAAAAGAGTTCTGTCTCTTTTTCTTTTTAGAAGTAATACATGAGGTTATGAAGAAAATTTTTTACATGAAATTTGATATAACAAACCATGACCTCAAGAACTGATTCAAAGTATATTCATTTAGTTCTTTCTTTAATGAATTTGAGATTTTCTTTTGGCAGAAACTTCAAATTTTCAACCTGTCAATGGCTCAATTCTGACCATAATCTGAAGCCTGTGGCAGCCAAAATCATGGCAACATAATGAAAAATATGTAATGGTGCTACTGTACTTATCAGTCCTTTCCAACATTTCTCCCTAATTAGTTAAGCTATACAGAGAGCATGATAAGTTATCGGCACTGTTTGGTAACATTCAAAATATATTTCGAAGGCGCTTGAGATATGAAAAAGGTATATAATGATCAAATGTATTATCAAAAATGTGCAACAAATACTGTGTGCGGTATTTGCCGTATGCTTAATATTGCAGTGCATAATTATAATGTCGCCAGCTTTATCAGAATCTTTGTGGCACCACGTTTGCTGGAATCAGATGATGCTTTCATGGGCCAGTGTGATATTTGTTCATTATCTCTGATAGTGGTAAGAATCTTGAATAACGAACAAACCATTTGCACAAAACAAAAGAAAAAGAGGCATATATATTGTCTGTAGTGTAAAATGGCTGACTTGGTGAAAGGTCCTTCTCTTCATTGACTTGATCATATTGACCCATAATGCAACCCGGAAATTTTATGGTGCAAAAAGTTCCTTTCATACTCTGATTGATAGACAAAGTTCAAGAGCATTTTCTTTACACAAATGCAAAAGCAGAATTACCAAACAGGAAAGGAGTGTGAGAAATCAATTAATTTTGTGTATGCACCATGCAAACTAAGCTGAAATCCTATTTAATACTTGATCCTGGTGTTGCCTACTTCAAACAGAGTCACCATTCAAGGTGTGAAAGCATATCAGAAAATTTAACAATGAATGTAAGCATATCAGATCAAAATTGTACATATTGGCCTAATCATTCTCAACGAATGGAAGCTGATGAGTGAAGGTGAAATTAAACCTCATGCAGCATATAAAATCAAAGAAAATGGAAAGAAGAAAAGGGAAAGTTTGAGTAGAAGCAAATTACAAGCTGACCTTCCTCAATGAAAACAGAGAGTCCGAAGTCAGTGGCTTTAAGAGGAGCATCGTCATCTTTACTCACCAACAAGAAATTCTCAGGCTTCAAGTCCCTATGCATGACACCCATGAAATGACACACATGAATCACATTAACAATCTGCCTACCGATGGAGGCTGCTTCTTTCTCAGAGTAATTCCCCCTGGCAATAATCCGATCAAAAAGTTCACCGCCGGAGCACAACTCCATCACCACATGCACATTATTTTTATCCTCATAAGCCCCCCTGAACTCCACAATATTAGGCTGTCCAGTCAGGTGCTGGAGTATGGCAATCTCTCTCCTAACATCCTCAATATCTTCTCGTTTATAAGCTTCCGCTTTGAGATAGACTTGCAGGCGTATTCTAACCCAGTTCTCTTATCAAAACAAATACGAATTATTCCAAACTGACCCCTACCCAGTTCTTTACCGATATCGTAAACTGAGAGGACATCAACACAAGGCCTGCAAAGAATGGGACCAAACTCTGAATTGGAAGGAAGTCTAGCCAAAGACTTGGAGGGAGGAGCTGATTTGGGTGCTGAAGGAGGTTTGACAGGAGGATCATAGCGGGCTTGTTGGGTTCTTTTGGTGGGAGCTTTGTATCCAGGTGAATCCGAGGAAGAGATTGGGATTTCTTGACTACTAGATTTTGAGAAGCAAAGTCCCATTTTGTGGATTTCCTTTTTTTCTGAGGTGGTAATGAGAATTTCAGAGATGTTGCAGAAGCATATTTGAAAATGAGAGGAGAGTCTTGTTGAGTACTTGGTTTGGTAAACGGAACTATTCTTGGTGCTTTGCTTTTGCCCAATACACTCTCCCGGGTATAATTCTTCTCTTTTTTATACCCATACGCTTTGCTTTGGCGATCGGTTTCGTATTCCATCGCCTCTTTTAGGTAGTGAAGTTACACGTTTCATGCGACCGTTTTCTATGATTTTGTAGCCTACTAATTGTCCCAAGTCCCGAGCAGCGACATAAAGTATATCAGTACAGAGTGAGGACAAGTGTTTTTATTATTATATAGTTGAAAATGGGTTCCCCTCAAATACCCCAGTCTCCTACCGAAAAGAAAAGTTGACGGGTTGACGGGTTCCCCTCAAATACGGCTTGGCAAAGCAGCAGTGTCAAAACTGTTAAGAAAATCACAAGTGGGTTTAAACTGAAGAGCCCATTTAGGAGCCATTAATGGACCTGTAAGCCCATCCAGAAGATCTTCTGGACCCAACCAGCAGCAGCCGCAGCCATTGGCCGGGTTGCGTGTCAACTACCTACCGCTGAATTATTCATTTGTCAACCCATTTGATCGTACTCGACTGCTGGAACAACTTCTGTTTTTGTTTTCTTTCTCATTAATTACACACGAACCATTTCTTTTCTTTTTTTGACCTATGACTAAAAGGTAGGTAACTCTAAATTATTAAAAAAAAATCTAAAGAATTTAAATGGTAATAAAAAATTAAATCATAAAAAAATAGAATTGCAATTTATTTAATTATTAATTACATTATTTTTCAACACGGTAATGTAACGACGTCGTTTACACGTCAAAGTCAAAGATGTGGAAACGGGTAATAAATTAGTTTGAAATTTGAGAGGGGAGAGTTATTAGTTTTCTGTTAATTAAACCTTAAAACACTAAATTATCACGTCAGAATCCAACAGGAAGACCGCTAATTTTTTTTTTTTTTTTTCCTGGACCACTTTGAAATTCCTGCAAAAGTTGGGGGACTAAAATGTAATTTCCTATTCTTGGTTACTTATGGTGTGGCCTGAAACTGAAATCAAAAGTGATTAATGGGAAATGAGAAGGGTATTTTCGTCTTTCCAGTGTAAAATAATAAGCGGAAGTCATCGACATTATTAGTGACGTCTGGGATTTGTGCTTCTTCTCTGCACTTTCTTTACGTCCAGCCATGTCACTTCCTTTTCTTTCTCTACGCAGGTTGGTCCTAATTTATATAATGTCCTTTCTTGTTCATTATTATTCAAAGGAATCTCTTGTTTCTTTTGAAATCTTTGATTTTCGCATTACAAACTTTTTGTAAAAAGAAAAGCCTGATACAACCGAAAGGAGAAACTGAAATTGAACAATGGAGACTTCTTCTCCCTCCTCCTCCCTGTTTGCTTTATGGGTATCTCCTGAAAGGATAAGAGAGTCTTTCAGCTCAATTGTTTCTGCACTTATCTCCAAGCTGTTCGGCGCAATCTTCATTTTGTTATTTGCAGAAGGTTAGTCTAATTTTTCTCTATATATTTCTCTGGATTTTATTCCTCATACACGTGTATATATATATATGTATGAAAGACTTCTGGTGTCTACCGTAAATAATCAATTCGATATTGGTGGTGTAGTTGGAGCAACCATAGGAGCCATGGCTGGAGCTCTGTTGGGGCTGAAAACAGAGAGCGGTTTTCTCCGTGGAGTCAAAATAGGAGCCGTAAAGGGATCCATTTTGTCCGTAAAGATTTTCAAATTTTCGGTGGCTCTTTGTCAGAATGATTATTACAGTAAAGAATTTGGTTGCCTCCTTCCTGTGGTGCGTCACTACCTTGTTCTCTTTTATTCTTGTCACAAATGAACTTATTACATCTGGATTTTAGACAAATGATGTCTTCTCCATTTTCTTTCGTCCCAAAGGTTGACGCTATTGAAACGCTTTCATACTCAACTGCACTGTTCATTGAGGACGTTCTAGTAAATGTGATGCGTTGTAAGGTGATTAATTCTCCAGATTATTCAATTCATCGCCTCTCTATATACTGTATAATTTGCTCATATACGAATGTTGTTGGACAGGACGATCACGCAGACGATATTCCAAAGATGAGAATTACAGACGATAATCTGTTAATGGATACTAGTTCAGACGACAGAATCTCCTGTTCCATTTGCCTTCAGGTTGTGCAATATACATATATATATATATATATTAATGAATAATAGTTCAGAGGGATCATAATTAATGAGTAATTACCTCGACGTTCGGTTAAATTGTTTCAGGAATTCCAGACAGGAGACTTGATTCACTGTTTGCCGCATTGCAAACACATTTATCATCAACCTTGCATCAACAAATGGCTGACTGCCCACAATTCCTGCCCTTTGTGTAGAAGAAACGTGTGACGCCGAAGCTCTCAACACATTTATCAGATTATGAGAAGAACTACCAGCTAACAATATTTAGAAGAAATTCTGTAAAGCAATTAGTGACGAGAAACTTTCATTCATCGCCTGCATCGCCGAATTCGGCTGTGCTCAATTTACTTACTTACGTGCCCGAGCAAGCAGGCTTACCCCAAAAAAGGGGGCAAAACTGCGTGCAGGGGCGGTCAATTGACGATTCAAAAGCCGCCTCAAAGAATTTTCGTCATTATTATGGTACCCTTAATAATGCGATGACAAGGACTTCTTCGACTCTGCAGGAAACTTCAATTCCGCCATCGTCGATTTTAATCCTCTCCTAATGGAATTTTAACTGGAAAGGGTTAAAATCCTACCTCCCAAATATGAAAAAAAAAAAAGAAACCAGAAAATATTCAAATCAAACACGCTAACAATCTCCTTCGGCTTACTATTAAATGTACAATTCAGGAACAACCCATATAACCCACATATTATATCACCAGACACATCTTGCATATAACCCACATATTGCACTTCCTCTTTTTAAGTCGATGTAAATACCAATCTTCGACAGCGGCCACCGCCCACAATGTGTCAATTGTGGTCAGCTTAGCAACCAGAGAAAATGGATATGAAAAAATCAATTCCAGATTGCTGAATATAACCCTTACCCTTTATTACTAATCTAACTTTATATCTTTCCATTGAACCGTCGGATAAATATGTAATAATTTCTAAAACTTGTAAGATGTGTATAATACAGGATAAATATGTAGCTTATACTTAAACTAATATTTTAGTTTACAAATACGTGATGTTCTAGAGTAAGTTGGAAGATCCCGTAGAGAGGAAACCTATATATATATACACACACACACACACACGTACATGTATTGATGAACTGGGCGAAGGAATTATAAATACGACATATCATAAAATCATAGTGACTGAAACTAATCATATTGGCAACATATGAACTTGGGAAAAGAAGATTTCAGTATGCTGATGAAGTTGCCAAGACTTGAGCTTCACGAACAGAGCTTGGTGGTGGGCTGGGAAAAATTGGCCCACAAACTCCCCCCCAGCCCCCCATTTACATCGGGCAGTACGTTATGTAGTATTTCGATTTTGGCTAGAGTGGACTTCCGAAAGCTGACTCCAACCTACCACTTTTTGAGAGCGACACGTGAGAAGCGTGTCGACATCATGCCACGTGTCGGATGCAAAACGCGACACCACGCTTTTTTACAGCTGGTAAAGAGGCCACGAAGGCCGCCGGTTTTGGCTTTTTGCGGCTTTTGCTCAGATCGACACGACATCACGGGAGGACACGTGGGGTTAGACGGGTGAGCTTTGGGCTTGGAAGGGTTTTGGTGGCGGACCCCACCTGCCTCCGGCTGAATTATCGGATTCATCCAACAACCCATCACGCGACACATGTCTCCCTTGCCCCCATACGCGTCCTCTTCCGTACGCCAAACTTTCCCTTTTCTTATTTCATTTCTTTTATCTACAATTATGAATTTTTTGTTTTTAGTAATTATAATATACTAATAATTAAAAATATACTTTATTGATTATATTAAAGTAAATTAAATTTAAAATGTGAATTATTTAATTTATATATTTAAAAATTTGAGAGAACGTGGTAGACGTACACGTACAAATAAACTTTAGAAATGCCAACTGCCAACATAAACTTTTGAACTTCCGAGGGGAAAAGAAATGGCTCCGCAATTATGCGGGGGGCTCAGCGTTAGAGACAGGTGTCCATCTGTTTTGTTTTCCCCCTGCCCGGGCTCCAACGTACGCAGCGTTTTAGGACAGTAAATCCGCACTTGTGTTATGCGCCCCACTGTAATCCTACACGTGGCAGTATCTGGTTGGCTGGTTGACTTCAGATCGGGTCAATAGAAGAAATGTTGCTGATGAACGGGAGATATTAAGGATGAGAGCGCCTTCTACAGCATTGCAGCTCGTGCAGACGAGGGACATGTAGTAGTTTCCAAGTTGATGCTACGTGTGAGCGAGTTGATATGGTTGGTAGGCCGTTGCGCACAAGCACAATAAATGATGTAGAAGACAGATTATGCTTCCAGAAAATATAAACGCTCAAGCGTTTTAGGTAGCGGCCTGCTAGGCTCTGTTGCGTGTAGAGAGAGAGAGAGAGAGAGAGGAGGGGGGAGGTGAAGGAGATGAAGTGTGAGGAAGAGAAGAGCCATGTCCAATCTCTCACGAATGGAAAAACAGACTACTCTTCACCGTCGAGATTCTCTTCTATTTTGGCCTCGATTGACCGTGATTATCTTCTCTCTCCAACTGGGACTCAGGTTCTCTTCCCCTTCCTCTCTCTCTCTCTCTCGCTCTCTCTCTCTTTTCTATACTAATTAAGCTCCAGTATAGAAGAGAATTTGCATCTCTACCTACTGTCGAATAATCAGCTTGTAGCATCTGCCACTATATTATGGGATCCATGTCGTTACCAATAATTCTCTCTTGCTATTTTTTTTTTTTTTAATATTTTTAGGATAGATTTGGTGTAAGATGGTGGTGGATCAGACGGAGCATGCACACACTTTCGGCCTAACGCACTCATTCCGATTTCCAGAAAACATTCTGCTAAATCTCTTCTTTTTCACTGCTCTTGGATGCACTGCCATTAATTATTTCTTCTTCACTGAACAGATCTTATTTTCCTTTCATTTATTACGGAATATTTTTTTTTGTTCTTCGTTTTTGTGTAAAATGAATTTTGTATGATCTGGAGTCTTTCTTTCTTTCTTTTTTCAAGAGCAAACATCGAACTTTCTAGAAAGATGATAATTTGTTTTTATTCAATATTTATTTACGTGTCGTCTCCTGTATTTGAATTTCAAAATATATGCGATAAAATTTTTATTTTCCAATTTGTTAATAATTAAATGATTTAAAAGGTTATAGTAAAATTTTGTTCAACTCAGTCATTACATAAAGGAATTTTACTTCTGTTTATACTGTAAACTTCATGGTTATAAAGTAGGAAAAAGATGGTAGATTAGCCAGAGAAATTAAGGTCCGTGAGCAAATAATACGCTTTTAGAAGAAGAGCAGCTTCTTTTTGGCCATAAAAAAATGGTTTTTTTTTTTTCTTCTTTCTTCGGTGCTTAACTCGTGATATTGGTTCAAAAATTAATCTTTGTTGTTTATACCTGATAATGATATGGGCCATTGCATCTGGATGTCTGAACATGAAGTCCGTAACCGTAGCTTTCTTAATGCAAGTATGGGCGCTTCTTTTCTACATGCATGTAAAAATTATTATTAAATTTCAACATACATGTATATGATTGGTACGTGTATGCTCACATGAAGAAACCGCCGACATGTGAAATCTTCCACTGTGCATTTATGTTCTTGGTTACAGCTAATAACATTAGTTGGTTTCTTTTCTACCAAAGAAAAAGATTAGTTGATTTCTTTGAATGTAATAATTAGATTGATGCATTTCTTTCAAGTTCATAATTAGTTCATCTCCGAAACTTCAGTATCTCAGGCCACTAACCAAGGAAAATAAATGTGCCCGTTGTTTTTTCTTTCCTCTTTCTTCTTGATATGAAGATCATATATAGTCATTTTATGGTATAACTCCTGAAAACTCAAAGTAAGATTCATCCATTAGTAATTTATATGTTGACTTGGTGAAGGATATATATAGTGATGGAAGTAGTCTGCAGAAGAGAAATTAAAATCAAATTAGCAATCTCGGTGTACTATTTTGTCGGTGATCATAAGTGTTTCAGGAAACACGTGATTTAATAGATTTTATAAATACATATGATTCATGGAATTTAAATTTAACAGCACAAAATAATTATATGAGAAACAGAAAAAAGAGAAGGGTAGGTTCCGTATTGGATTCTCTTACCTTTATGGGTCTGCTTTTGGGCAGTGATACAGTGGATAGTTGACGCGGCCTACACATTCCAAAATTTAGCCGTCCTGGTGGATACATAGCTTCCTACTCCTGCATAGTTGCTTGTATCTATGCAATCAAGCTTAGGACACGTGTCATCTCTTGTTCATTTCGTCTCCTTTGCCTCACTTTAACGCTATGAAGAAGAATACGTGGCCCATAGTCCATACCTGCACATGTGAAAATCTGGTGGCACGTCGGTTTCAGTTCTAGCTATGCACGAACCTTTCTTTTTTTTGTTTTTTTCCTGTTTGGTTTCTTTTTTTTTTTTTTTTTTTTTTGTGGTATGGGTTCTGAATTCTGGCTTGTTTTGATTTCCTAGTGGTCATCACCCCGTAGTGCTAGTTAACGTGCATCTATCACTACTATCGTTATCATTCATCCCAGTACTCGTATCTCACCAATTAAAAATGGTGGGCAATTTGGATGCAATCCTGGTCACTTTTTCACCACTTTGCCAGTTTAAATGTTTTAGTAATTGATCATGAACCTGTTATCCCAGTGTACTTTTACAGTGGAATATCATGACAGTGAACAAGGAAAGAGAATTTGAAAATTAATTGATTACGCAAAAATCTAATTAAATTCCTTTCAGTTGTTGATAGCTTGATGACGAATGTTGGGTTTTTTTTTCTGTTTTAGGTGAAAATTTCTGATCTTGACGGCAAAGTTATAGGCCTTTACTTTTCAGCCAACTGGTATCCACCATGTCGGAATTTCACTGAAGTGCTGGTTGGTGTGTATGAGCAGCTGAAGAGTAGTGGGTCTAATTTCGAGATTGTGTTCGTGTCATCAGATGAAGACTTGAATGCCTTCAACAACTATCACGCCAGCATGTCATGGCTTGCAATTCCGTTCTCCGATGTGGAGACAAAGAAGGCTTTGAATCGGAAATTCGATATTGAAGGTATTCCAAGCTTGGTTGTTTTGCAACCTAATGATATTAAGGATGAAGCAACATTGAGCGATGGGGTTGAACTCATTTACCGGTATGGAGTCCAAGTCTTCCCATTTACTAAAGAAAAGTTGGAGGCATTGCAAAGTGAAGAGAGGGAGAAGCATGAGACCCAAACCTTAACCATTTTACTAACAAACCATGATAGAGATTATCTTTTGGGTCATTCCACACCTAAACAGGTCAGTCCCCTACATCACCTAATTCTAGTTTAGCTAGGCTTGGATCTCAAATTAACTGTATAACTCAATTTTGATGCCTTGTTAGAACTCTGTAGGTTTATCATTCAACAAATACCACTTTTTCTTGCGCTCGAAAATCATCCATACAAATTACAAACGGGAAAGTGTTTCTCAAAATCCCTTCAACGTACACTTTTCTTGCTGCGCCCACCAATTTGATTAAAATAATGTCTGCAGCCACGGACATATGAAATATGTCTTATTCACATATTCTCTCTGCCAAAAATCTATCAATTTGAAGACAGTGTCTTCTCTGCTTTGATGCCCTTCTGACTCTAGACATCTTATCTATTCATCTGCATAGTAGTGTTTTCCAGAATGTAAAGAAAGTAAGGTGCATTTTATGGTGACCTGACGCACATCATGTCATCATTACGCGTATTCTTTTTACTTTAATTAGGTGTGGAGGAATCATGTCCGGAAATCTATTTTCTATTAACGATGAAAGAAAAACACAAATCATTTACATAATTACAGTGACAATTCTATCTTATATTTTTCTAGGGAAAGAATTATATGAGAATTAAGACTTTAGTATCTGTATTATATTTCCACCTACACAAATTTTTGTTTATGGTCAGTTATTGACACCTAAACAAAAATGACATGAACCTTTGAATTTTAGTAGAGACCAAAGAAACTTGAATAAGAAAACTGGAGGTGACATGTTGCAGGTCCCGGAAAAAAAACTTCACCACTTTTTTTTCTCTGGATGTGATGAATCTTCAACTTTTGGTCCACCTGTGTTTTTTTGCATGTGGCCACGGAGATAATATATGATTTGCTAATATGGGTCGATGTCTTGTCAGCAAATCTCCTCTCATCCATAAAGCATTTGTTTTTTGAGTAGATGTCCATAAAACATTTAAGTGGATGAGAAGAGATTAGATTCCCTCCTCTTTCTTTTCACCTTCCCCTTGTTTGCTTTTACCCCCTTCTAATTTCTCTCTCCCTCGGTTAATCTCATCCACCTAAATTCACTCCCGAACTATCATCTTATGTGGCAGATAAGCATGGAGAATATAGCCATAACCTGTTCTAGTGGTTATCTTCTCCAGTGGCCCATTATCTCATTATGGAAACTGTTGACCATTCGTGCAGTAATATGTATGTTGGCACTACTTACCTTGTTGCCTTATATTGGACTCTGCATAGATTTCCATCACACCCGCAACATGGATTAATAATACCTTACGTAGTTTGCATGCGGACATCTCTTCGTTCATTCTTTACAACCTGCATTAAGATACATCCGAGGCTGAAACAGTATCGTAATAAAGAGTAACACAAAAAATTAATAACATGTTGTGCAGGTGCCCGTTGCTTCCTTGGTGGGTAAAACAATTGGACTCTACTTCTCCGCCCAGTGGGGTGTTCCATGTGTGAAGTTCACTCCCAAGCTTGTGTCTGTCTACCAGAAGATTAAGCAAACGATGATAGAAAATGCAGACGAAGACTTTGAGATAGTTTTCGTGTCAATGGATCGCGAGCAAGCAGAATTTCAGTCCTATATTAGTGTCATGCCTTGGCTAGCATTGCCATTTGGAGACCCGAGCATCAAAGACCTCGCTAAGCATTTTGATGTAAAATGTATCCCTTGCTTGATCATTTTAGGCCCTGATGGCAAAACTGTCACCAAACAAGGGAGAAACCTTATAAATCTGTACCAAGAAAAGGCATACCCTTTTACTAAGGCCAAAGTGGAATTGCTCGAGAAGCAAATGGAGGAAGAAGCAAAGAACCTACCAGTGTCGGTTCAGCATGAAGGACACCGGCATGAGCTGGGTTTGGTGTCTGAGGGAACAGGAGGTGGTCCCTTCATATGCTGCAATTGCGATGAGCAAGGTTCGGGTTGGGCTTACCAATGTCTGGAATGTGGGTATGAGGTGCACCCCAAGTGCGTGAGATCTGTGAGCGGTGGCTCCTTGGTTGGAAGGTGACCGAACCTCCATGGTTTGCTAATGTTGCTAATTAATTCAGATTCCGTTTCCATATTGTAATGTGTTTATTCCGCAAGAAAGGTGTTGGTTGTTGTTTTCATCTGTTCACTTAACGGATGGGAAATTCAAAATTTCCCTGTTGGGACATGTTATGTGCTTCAAATTTCTCCTGTGTAACAAAGATATAAGAACAGAATTTACCTGATTGCAAGCGAGAAAATTAGGCAACTGCTGGAATCCCGTGCTGTGGGTTTCTTCTTCAGGCGCCAATAAGTAGGTTTTGGAGATCGATTAGCACCATCCATCACTCGGCAGAACATACACATTGAACCTGATTAAAGGAAATCCATTTGGGTCCCAATTTGGCTGCTTAAGCCCGGTCTCTGTATGGCCGAAAATCCCGATCAACAACTATGATATTGCTTTGCGCGTGTGATATTCCAATAGAAACAATGTTCAGTCTTTGATCCTGTTACAAGTATGAAGTAGGAGTTGAAAATTAGATTGTATGGAGGGTTTAATATGGTTTTAGTTGCAACAACTCGAGAAATGAGTTGTTCTTCAATTCCGTTTTCGTAACTGAGATTGCTCGAGAGACTAGTAACTGTGAGGTTTATAGTAATTGGAGTTATCATTTCATTGCTCGTTGAAGATATCTGTGATTCCAAATAAGATGGCTGACGATGAAGCTTTCTACTCTCGACAAAAGAATATGCAGATTTTGTTGGAATCAATTCTTATTTTTAGTTATTACCCCCTTTATTATTTATTTATTTTTAAATAAAATATAAACTTTTTAACTTGTTTTGTAATGACAATTTCTAGGTATTTCTACTTTCATGCATCTTATTCTGGGTATCAAAATTTTCAATTAATAATTTCTGAAAATACAAAATTATATAGCAAACGACATTAAAGTGCCAGAATCATTGTGAAACGTTTTTAAAATTCAATTTACTGGTGCAGATTGATTATGATTCAAAAACTTCAAACCAATAAATTCAATGAAGAGACATCTGATGGAACTGTTTATCCAATAGATGGGTACGAGTCAAATACATGGTACTGATGATATTTTTGGAATCAGTTTGTATCCTAATGATTTCAAGGAGGGGGCGTATCAACTTAGAAGTGGAATGTTAATTAACACTTTGAAAATGAATTTGCCTTGAATGGATGGTCTTGTTACACCCACCACAACTGTAGAACGTGCAATTTTTTAATTATGAAGGTAATGAATGATTTGATTACTTGAAACTGTTTACATTGATTTTGAAATTGCTTTTAACTTGGGTATTGACCCAAAAATACGTCAATTTTCTACTACCACAGACTCAATTCTCGAACCAACCCAGTTTTAATATGAGAATTTAAGCATGGTTTAAATTGAATCTTTTGGGACAAATTTCCACTGTTTATCACATGTACCGCCCACCACAACCATCTCCCATGACTTTATAAAAAAAAAAAAAAAAAAACTTTGCATAATTTTATGAATAAAAATATCATAGCTTTTGTTAAAGTGATTATAATTAGTTGAAAACAACGATACAGCTTGCTATCTCTACATGTGAATTATGACGTAATTAAAGGAGGAAAAAGACAAAAAAATAATAATAATTCAAAAAAAAAAAAAAAAAAAAAGAGAGGGCGTGGGTCCTCCCTTATTATTGATGCCCTTGGAGCTTGGTCAGGTGAGGTGGGTGAATTCTGAGTAGTACTATACGAGTGAATCACCGGGACAGGTGGGTCAGGTCAGGGTGCCGGATAGTGACTGGTCAAGCCCAGCCGCGCAAGCACCGAACCAGAAACTGTGGGCACGGGGCAACCCTTAGAATCCACTCGAGTCATAGTGGCCAGGGCCCGGGCGGTGGCTGTGTCGAATGTTTCGTAATTTCATAGTTCGAAACTCAAGGTAACGGTGGCCGTCATCTTCTGCAACTTCAACAGGCCTCGTCTGGCTGGGTTACAGAGATGAATTGCCATTACAGATGCAATATGGAAATCGTGTTACTATTTCCCTTGCCCATTTTATTTTTAACAAGATAAATGCTTAATTTAACTTTTCCTTGTTTGGTTAAATCAATCACGTATCATTTCTTTTTTCTTCGGCACATCAATGGAATCTTATTCTCACGAGTGATGGATTGATGAGAGAAAAAAAAAGAAAAAAAAAAAAAGGAAAACTAGAAGGAACTAAGAGAAGAAATTCTTACACTTAAAGATACTTTTAATGAACAAGTAATTAGGATTAAACTCTAGAAGCTCATTAACATGAAAAACAAAAAAAAAAAAAAAATAAACACAAAAAAAAAAACAAAGGAAGCAAACCAGAGGACTTTATGATTGTTTCGTTTCGGGTACTAAGATGGATTTCTAGCAGGGACTTTCGAGCTGATCAGGCGGAAGCTTGGCCCTACAGACGGGGCAGACGGAATGGTTGGAAAGCCAAGTATCAGCACAGTGAAGGTGAAACCCGTGATTACAACCGGGAACCAGTCTTGCAGGTTGCTCGCCCTCGATCTCGTCGAGGCACACCGCGCATTCTGTTCCGAGTACAAGTTCTTTCCCCGTGACCTTGGGTAACTTCTCGAGCTCGGAAGGCGATAATCCTGCCCCGGCCACCGGCTTTTCTGGTAACCTGATATCTGAATGGTAACTGGTGGAGTACCACAAGAGGCAGATATAGACTCCAAAAACTGCGCTCATGCCGGCACAGGGTAGAAAAAGGGCCAAGAAGACGGAGACGATCATGGTGTGAGAGCCGGGGGCGGAGTCAGTGCAGTTCAAGGAGGGTGACGGAGAAGGGGAGAGAATAGGTGGGAGAGGCGTGTGATGCACACCATGGCGCATAGTAGAAAGGAGCCGCGTTTGTGGAGGGAAGGTGTGAAGTATAAGGGTTATGTGCGCGTACTGTTGGAAGGCGTGGGGGTGGGGGGTGAATAACGCTTAATATCGGGGAAGAGAAAAAGATTTTGGATTGGTGGAGGGGAAAGCTAGCCAGCTAATGGGTTTCAGGGCTAACACGAAGCATTTATATTTTCATTTTGGGGGGTGTATGACTCTCTCACTCCAAAGCTTCAAATACCATTACCGCCTGTGATAGAAGAGCTGTGGGCCGTCTCTCATACCTTCAAAACCATAAAGAAGAATATGGTACCTTAAATATATGATTTGTTAAAGAAAAATAGATGATTATGAATGATTGAAGGGCGCCAATAAAAAGGATTAGTAGGTAAAAAGACAAAAAGGGTAGCCTTTCGACTTTGGAGGATAAGGTTGTTTGTCAATATAAATTTGTCCTAGACGTCATGTCTCCACTCAACGATAAATTGGCTCTATAGCTAAAACTCACCAGCGGGGCCGGACATGGTATGGGGGTAACTCATCTCTCACTGCCCATAATCCAATAACTGAAACTGGTTACTGGTAAAAACGCTACACGCCTCCATTGTTGGACTGTTCATTCCAGTTTAACCCCCCAACAAATGTAGACTGAGATGGGCATGAGTGCATCAAGCATTGAATACCCACATTAACATTTAACAATCGCCAACCTCCCACCTACCAGAGAAGGGATTAATGAGAGTTTCTCTCTAGCAAAATCTAGTAGCAACACATGGGGTCCAAAATAATTTGTTTCTTTCTGCCAAATGTATATTGAGAGGACACGGAAAACAGAGAGTCCAGGGTTTTAGACGCATCGATAATGACATTTGATAATAAGTTTTCTGTACGATCAATTCCCCACTGATCCAATACTCTCACATTCACAACTTGGATATGCAAAATCCCGCAAGATGAAACAGCCAATCATGGAATATAGAGTCGATGGTATTGATGCTAATTGGAAACAAATAAACTTGTGGTGCACAATTTGACAACGAGCCAATTGTTCATTAGTCATGGAGTGTATAATAAAAATAAAGAATAGCATTATTGGGAATCATTTCCTTTTTAAAAAAACATTACTTGTGTAGCTACTTTACCTCAACTGAAATGAAGTTCAGAGTCCACCCAGCATCCACGTATTTAGTTACTCAAATAATATAAGAGTCTAGAAGCAGCCAATGCAAAGGAAAACCATGCTGGGGTAGTTTCTGCTAATAAATGGTGGATTCGTCAAGTAGCATAATGGACAAGAGGCAAAATTGCAACTTTGGGTGACCAGAATTTGCTTACCTTGTCTTGCACGCCGTAGAAATGGACAGGTGCTTATCTTCTTTGTCTCTTTCAGGATTTATAGTAGCCTGTATTTGGTATTTTCTCCTGACCTCCACCCATCGTCATGTACATCATCTACGATGGCTCCACTCCATTAAAAAAAAAAAAAAAGCTTCATGCTTTTGAATGGTAAAGTTATGATGAAAATCTTGGGCTCTTAGAAATGTGTTAAAAAAGCACTGCTCAAGTTAGTCTATTTCTTGAGAAATCAAAAAGGAATTGCTTAGAAAGAGAAAGACTTACCTTTTCACCATGCTATCAAGATTTTAACAGCTTCTTCCTTCTTAACGTGGCAGACATACATGAACGAGATAAATAGTGTTCTTCTCCTGCCACATTTGCAGTTCTGGGTTCGAACTTTGAATTGATAATGTCTATGTTTTACTAGTTTCTGTTTTCAAGGGGTCAGTTGGCAACTTGTGAAAGGCATTTCTGGAGAGTTTTGCCTGTACCGTATAACTACTATGGGTGAGCTGGGTGCAGTTTGCAGACACGAGAGTCCATTAATCCAATCAGTGTCTTATTTTAAAGATCTTTAGGAGCAACCACAGTGATAAGTCTAGGGGCATCATTGTTAAAGCCAAATAGCTTAACTCCACATAACTTAGCTTTACAAACAACAGAAACATATACACGAATAATTCCCAAAAGAGCAAACTCCATCCTCAAAGTGATGAAACCTATTTGTCTCTCATAAATATACTGCCACCTACAAATCTGGATATAAAGTTTTCTGACCACATGGAACTCGCTGCAGATTCTGAGGTTCTTTACTACTAGAAGAGGAGAGCCAGGTAGCGTGTTCCGAAGCAGAAAAGCAACTTCCAACTTTTCACTGTGCCTGCATAACATCTGCTCCTTGTCCTGCTCCTCCACACCTTGAAGAACAAAGTCCATATCTTGGAAATAGAGAGATTTCTTCATCTCTATGTTGAGCTCATCCAATTTTTCAATGATTTTGGACATTTGTGGATGTGAATTGACCCCTGCAAGAAGTATATGAAATTCGCTATTGACCTGAGCCCAACAGCATCCAGGATTCTTCAATTCCATATCCTTCATCATATTACTAACCATATTGACTTTGGTCACATAAACATTTGGTAGAAGAATATAGTTCCCAGAATTTCTAGGCTATAAGTCTACAAGTTCCATTTCAGCAGCCCCGCCTAGCTACCTTATTATGAATCAGGAGCTTTGTAAAGCTCCCCATATGCAGGCATCTGGTTCAAAATGGCATCTGCTTGATCATGTTAAATGCCTCATCAACTTTTCAGCATGACCAAAAAGGGTTACCATACAAGCATAATGCTCAAAGGTTGCTTCAATTCCGTGATCTCTAGGAAGTACCGTCAAATTAATGGCGTCCTTCATCCATAGTCACCATGGCTACATGCAGCTAATACGAATTGAAGCTAATAAATTTAGTCTTCAGCCCACTCATTAGCAATGACTGGAAAATGCCAATGGCTTCTTTGGCCTTTCCATGAATGGCATAGCCACCTATCACAGAATTCCAACAAGCTAACTTTTAGTAGGCATCTTATCAAAACAAAGCCTAGACATGTGAATTCTTTCACACTGTGCATGCCTATCAATCAGTGCAACTGCCTACAAAAACGTTTTCAGTAATTTCTGTTCTAAAGAGAAAAACAATGGGCCATCTGCATGGACCAATGTTAACATGCAAGGAATGGTTAAAGATTTTGTTTCACCTCTGCCTTCTGCATCTCTTTAAAAGCTCCAACGCCTCTTTATCTTTTCCATGCTGTGAGCACCTAGCTATCATTGACGTTCCAGAGATGACATTTAGTGGAACGCCTTGTTCCTCCAATTGTGTAAACAACTCCAATACTTCCTCGAGAAGACCATTTCGTGAGAGTCCCGTAATGAAAGCATTAAGAGTACTTCTATCTATCAGGTCCGTCAGGTTAAAAAGTTTTGCCATCGCCAATTCACATGCACGCTTTCCATACATATCTATCAAAGCACTAACCCTGCTTGATTACGTATCATGAATCTGAATTCCCATATTCATTTGTTCAGGATTTCTGCAGCAGGAAGAACACTAGATACAGTTATCTCATTGCGAAGAAATCTTTCTATATGCATATTTTGAAACAAAATAACCGCCTCATTGCAATATCCACTATGACTAAATCCCGAAATCATACCATTACAAGACACTAAATTCGCGCCACACCCAACTTTCCCATCTCAAATAGTAGCTTCATTGCCTCATTTATGCAGTCTTTTCGAGTATAAGCCCAAGCAAAGCCCTAAAAATTACCACATGCTTTAGAGGCAGCACATCAAACAGTTTGAGAGCATCTTTTATTCTGTCACATTTTACATACATACGAACCAAAGAGGTTTGAGCGAGAGATTCAGAACTAAACACAGACACTCAGACAATTCCATGGACCAATTTTCACGCCTTCAATGCTGCTTCTGCGGCGCAATCTTTGATCACACTGGGCAGGACGTGAATATCCGAGAGGACACCGTGGGAAAGCATTTGAGAGAAGACACAGAGCGACTGACCAAAAAGACTGCGTTCAGTCAATGCGTATATGAGAGTCGAATAGGAGTATAAAGCGAGCTCAGGTACGGAGGGAAAGATAAGGACTGCATCTGCAAAGCAATGGTGACTAGCATAGATAGGAAGAAGCTTAGTGGCGAGATGTGTACGGTTGGAGACACGAGTCTTAAGGATTTGGGCATGAACTTGCCTTGTGTGTGATAAAGACGTTGAGACCGAATCGGCCAGTTGGGGCAATGAAGGATTGTCCGGTGAAATTTCTCTTACAGATGAAGGGCTTGTCTTGACATGGCTACTGCTCTCCTCATGCGTTTTCGCGGTTTCAAAAGTTCCTTATCAGAGTCGGGAGTCCTTAATATCATTGACCGTTCATATTGCCCTGTCAGCATATAGAAGGAACGGTGAGACTTAAAGAATATCATTAACCGTTGATATTGCCCTGTCAGCATCTAGAAGGAACGGGTGAGATTTAAAGACATTCGTTATACATACAGACAGTAAACCCTCATATATTCTCTGCTCTGCAACTCACCAACAGAAACTGAGGAGGAAAAGATAGCACCAAAAAATGCAGAGACCAATAGGGAATAATTCGATTATACCGTCTGCTTTATTCTTCCTTATAGTTGGTGCGTCGTGGATTTCCGTGCAAGGTCAGTCGTTGCCGCCGGCTAGATATGATGGGTTCACGTACACAAATCATCGAGTTGACGCGGACACCATCATGATCGAGGCGTTCTTCAATCCCCTCTGCCCCGACAGTAGAGATTCATGGCCACCGCTCAAACAGGCCCTTAAGCACTATGGCTCTCGCCTTTCGCTTGTCATTCACCTTCTCCCTTTACCGTCAGTAATCGTTCTCTCTCATACTTTGTTATCCAGTCCTCTGCTTGCTTGCTGACTATTTGAATGAAAAAAAAGTTTATAAAGCAAAACTAGATTTTTTCTTCATTTGGCTGTGCTCAATTGTCCGTATGCGGCTCTGAGAATTTCTAGAATTGTTTAAAAAGAAAAATAAGAGAGAGAGATAAAAACGAAATTACATTGAAATTTCTTTATATGTATGGGGAATTGTAAAGTTAGACAAAACCTTATTCTTTTTCTACTAGAAATTCATATATTTCAACCAATTTGTGGCACTTACACGCGTATATGAACGCAGTCATTTATGCTAATCTGCACAAATCCACCAAAGCATAGTGAATTTGATCGGAAACCTGTTACCACCAATTAAGGTTCTCTTTCTTTGGGGGGAAGATGGTCCAACTTTATCTTTGGTGGGATGTTTTTGGAAACAAAGAAATCAGAATTTAATTAACCAAACAAAAATCAGAATTTAAAGCCAGTACTCTGGGGAATCTCCAAAACATAAGAAAGTCGCATTGGCTCATGGTTAACAAAAATATTGACCATGAAGATGGGAGTGGCTAAACCCGGTGCTCCTCTTGAATGAAGTTATGTTGATCTTTAACATTCAAAAGTGGGTAAAAGTGACCTCCGTTAATTGCCAATATCTCTTGGACTGTTTTGCTTGTAAATGAATAGCTTTTGTTTCTTGACGTTGCAGTTACCACGACAATGCATTTGCTGCTTCTCGGGCTTTGCACATTGTAAATATGGTGAATAAGGATGCTACCTTCCAATTGTTGGAGTGGTTCTTCCAGAATCAGGTTAGTCTTGTGACTTAAATGAATTAAAGTTGCTAATAGAAATATTCTGTTGTCAGGGACTAACATTAATTGTGATGTGAAAATACTGTAAAGCAGAACTACTTCTATCAAGCACCAATGCTGCATTCTCTTTATATATTATATCCTGAGTGCTGCTTGATTTCATTGACTTTTTTTTTTTGCTTAGTTATACTGGTTCATTCACTTTCCATGTTATTCATATATCTTTGGTTTTATGAAGGATCAGTTGCTTACTACATTAAACTTTATCAAGTAAAAGGACTCTACGCTGGAGATATTTGATGCTTCTGACTATGATTAAAATATTCTTGGAATTCTTAAAGAGTCATGGCGTTTTAATTCTTTCCCATCTCTATATGCTGGGTATCCTTTATAAATTTTTATAGCTTTTAGGTTGGTTTACCCCTGTGTCATGGTGGACATTTTTCAATTTAGTGTCATAACTCAGTCTCATGATAAGGGAAAAAGACTTGAGGGCCAAATAAACAAGCTCTCATTAGTATCCAAAGGCATACAGGTACAAGCTGATGTTGCAGTAGTCCCAGGTTGAGTAAGGAATAAAAGAAATGCCCAACGAACTGTGTATGGTCTGGGTTTCGAACTACATTTGGTTAGGGTTTTTTTTACCTATGTTGTAACCATTTCATTCTGTTTAGATTTTCTTGCCAGATTTTCGGTAGAAGGGTATATTAGTCTATATCCTGATTTCTCATGTATGACGATTATTATCCAAAAATCTGTCTCTTTCAGCATCTTTGCCGAGTATTCTCTCTTCTCTTACTTCTTTTTATCTCTCTTTTTCTTTCTACTTCTCTTATCTATTCTTCTCCATTCGTATAACATAAACCGTCGCTTGTGTAAATGTCGAAGATCCCTGACTGTTAGTCAGTTTGTGGCTGATGGCCTTATTTAAGATACTTGAACCTGAAACCTAAATTTAACTTGGTTTGCAATTTATTGCAATCTCTGGCTAGAGATGATTGCCTTATAAAGTAAAAAAGGGTGCTGGTAAGCTATTCTTGAAAGTGTCTAATTACTTTTTCACTTGATCATGAATTGTTAATTGACCTTGGGATTCCTTAATCTGTCACTGTGTCACAAAATCTATAGCCTGGGATGATTGGAGCTTATAAATGGTTCTTGAGGTAGCAGTGGCATCAAAATATCTTAAAAACCTAAGCAGCACTCTTTCCAAGAAATTCTACATTCTAGCCTCGTGGATATGCAAACTTCTTTGAAGCAGAATGTTGCATCATACGGATCACCTCATGTTGTTGTTTACTTGAATATTAGTTCGATTGAAAAACTTAGTTCTTTTATTACTTCATATATTTCAGTTGTGCGCAAATTCTGCATATCGAATTCAATGAGTCTTTTGGAATTTGATAAACAGAAAAGGTTCTATAATGCCCAAACACTTAACATGTCAAGAGTAGCTGTTGTGGATGAAATTGTAAAGTCTGCGACACAGGCACTTGGGAACTCTTTCTATCATGTGCTTGAATCTGGCTTCAATGACAGAAAAACTGATCAGAAGACTCGGATATCCTTTAAGGTAAATAGCCCTCTTCTCTCGTTTTGTATTTTGATTGTCAGATTTCATGATAGACTAGCATATGCTTTGAGTTGTTCCATGATTTCCACATAACCCATCTTCTGTCTCATTTTATTCAACTACAACATGTCAACAAGCAACTTTTGTTTCTTCTCTTGTTCATTGTCATTTCCTTACATTGATTCATTAATTGTCTTTTGTCCTACAGTATAGTACATCAAAAGGGGTGTTTGGGACACCATTTTTCTATGTCAATGGATTCCTATTGCCTGATGTTGGCTCCCCTTTAGACTATTCTGGATGGAAAAGGTTGATCGATTCATTACTTCGAGCACAAGGTCTCAAGACTGAAGAACCAATGCATTATCTCCTGTGATGTATGAGCTTTACTGGATAATATTACACTACATATTTGATGCATGTGATTAATGGACAGAATAAATCACCTCTATGTTCTGTTCTTGGTACATATTTGGTAATTTAAAGTTTATATGTGTTCTTGTGTTCTCCATGGAAAGCCTTTTAAAGTCAACATAGAGGCCAGTGACCATCCCCAGTGGCCACTCAGCTCCAACTTTTCCTTTCCTTGTTGGCCTCGAAATCTGTCCGTATTAGCACTTTCTAATAGTTCATTGGCCGTGTGCACATCGGCTTTAAAGCTTTAGTTCTTCTGTGTCAAACTATTGAGGTTAGTCGTGATTTAGGGTTTTAATTTGGGAATGATTTTGTGAAGAGAATCAAGAACAATAATGCTTGGGAGAATCGAAAAAACATTGGATAGCAGGATAATATTTTTCTTTACATGCTTCCAACTATTAGGGACGCGTGTCTCCAAGGACCATTGAGTGCCGCCCATCAGCAAAACCAAATGCCACGGGGATCATGACAAGAAATTGCACTACTCTGAACTCGCCAACATATGGACGTACATAACCGCTACCTATATGCGGTCGCCACGTCCAGAACGCACGGCATCCTTAGCTGGCTGCTTATCATTTCTCTACGTTCAACAACAGTAGCTCATGTCAAAGACACGTTGCCCCAAACATGAACTTGAAAAAAGAAGCAACAAGTATGAAGTAACCCACTTTATCAAAATAAACAAGAAAGTACTTGCAAATACTAAAAACATATTTTGATTATTTGTAAATATATATATATATATATATAGTGTAAAATAACATTAGTTTTAATCTGAAAAATATAAAATATTTTCTCAATAAATAAATATATATTTAGAAGTAAAAAGAATAAAAAAAAAAATATTGTGTATTAAATAAAGCTTTGTTAATTTTCTGTATAAAATTTGTTACCCAAGAAAACAACCTTCAACAAGCCCAACTGGAAGAACGAGTCTTACCCACAAAGGTTGGGCCGAGAAACAGCGGTCCAAACCAACAAGGTAAGCGGGTTGGACCGGATTAAAGTCGGTTAGGTTAGTTTGGAAAGCGGTGTGCCGCTATATATAGTTGGAGAAATCCCCTGTAAGCGGCTTAGGGCGTAAAAGAAGAAACAAAGCCGTAGAAGAGGGCTCTTTGTGGGCACAGAATACATTTATCTTTATCTCTAGGACTTCAAAGAACAAGTAAGTAACAACTAGATCCAAACAAACCCTAATCCCTCTCTTTCCTCCCTCTCTTTCATTTCGAACCCTAATTATGTTTGTCTATCAACCTCTCTTTCAATTTCTGTTGTTTTTCGCTGTTTTTTCTCTTCCGTTGCGGACTTTTTCTTTTCTTTTGGAAAACAGAAAAGTAATTAGAACTCTGATACAAAAAGGGTTAGGGGACTCTGCCTTTCTTTTCCTAGCTTTATTATCATCGTCAATTTTTAATTTTCCATGTAACGTTGACTTTACACGCTCTGTTCTCATTTTCATTTTATATTTGTTTTGGCGGAGAAAGATGGATCGGTACCAGAGAGTGGAGAAGCCGAAAGCAGAGACACCAATTGACGAGAATGAAATTAGGATTACAAGTCAAGGGAGGATGCGCAGCTACATCACTTATGCCATGACACTCCTTCAGGTTTTTTTTTTTTATAAAGCTTATTTCATATATCTATCCCATTTTACATTGAAGTTATCTCCTTGATCTCTGTCTTCTTAGAATTTGCTCTCTTTTCTTTTTTTCCCCCCCTCCTTTTGGTGGAGAATGTGTGATTTTTATCCTGTTTCTGCTGTAGTTATCGCATATGACAAGGTTTACAATTTTACAACTTAGGCAGACTTTGTCCCAACAGGGTTCAAGGTGTAAATATGCATTTTTATCGTTTCATTGAAGCGAACATCAATTTGCTTACATTGTTTTGAGAGGCCCTCGCATATATAGGCAGAACTCAAGTGCGGGGATTTGATATGAGATATATGCAATATATACCTGTTCGACTTGTTATCATCTTAATTAGAAACGGAATTTTTCTGATAGCTGCTAGATGTAAAGGTTTGGTATCAGGAGTTTGGCCCTCCCAATGGTGCTAGCCAAATCATTTGGATGGGCTTCAACGTGATAGTGGAGCTACATTTTTGTTGAAAAAATTGTATTTGCATAAATTGAGTTACAATGTGACCATTTCGTATTTTGATTTGTCTATTTATTTGGTTTTTATCCGCTCATATGTAGGAAAAAGGTTCAAATGAGATTGTATTCAAGGCAATGGGAAGAGCCATCAACAAGACTGTAACTATAGTGGAGTTAATAAAGGTATTCCTCCTTCCGCGACATATTGCTACTCTGTTTTAGTGGCTAGATGGGGCTTAGAATATCGTATTTGTCTATAATATAGAGAAGGATTGCTGGTCTTCATCAGATCACATCAATTGGATCTACAGATATAACAGATATGTGGGAACCTTTGGAGGAAGGCCTTTTACCGTAAGGGAACTCAGACCTCATTGGGATTAAGAACGAATTTACACACAACTTTTGTGCATCAGTTGTTGCAGTGCTCACATTCATTGTCATTTTATTTTTTTAGTTTGGAAACCACAAGGCATGTGTCGATGATCACAATAATCCTTTCAAAGAAGGAACTTAATACATCTTCCATTGGGTAAGTTTATTAGTTTAGTTATACGTTCTTTTTCATATGGAACTTAGATTTCTCATATTGAAGTTATTGTTGTGACTGCCTTATGAGCCAACAAAATTATCCAGTTTAGAGTTAGTTTACTAGTTGGCATAAAAGAGGGAGCCGATGGCCTGGAAATAGCAGGTAATGGTTTTAATTTTATTCAGTTGCGGAATAAAAGCCTAAGATTGTGGCAGCAGGGTAGCTCTATCATAAGACTCAAAGTTTCTGTTGATCAGAAGACCAGCTAGATTAAAGATGATGCAGAAAAAATCTTTGCAAATTCTTGAGTATCTAAAACTCCAGAGATGCTTAAGTTCTTTCTAGTGGGCCCATAAAATTTATTCAAATTGAGAATAAAGGAAGAATAACTAGGAAATTCTGTTCTTTGTTTTCTGTTTTTTATGTTAATAAATCTTCAACAAGACTAACATTAGGAACCTTATGGACTGGGCAAGTTGGTTGTAATAATGGGCCATATGATAATAAGCTTGATATTGTCTGAAATTTTGATTGTTATTTCTGCAATACCTATATTTTATTCAATAGGTCCGTATATTGTTCTCGTCATTACATCTTGAGATGCCAATTGTTATTTTTGTTGGCTCAAATGATTGAGCTAGAATGTGATGCATGAGGAATAAGTATTTGATGGATGCTACAAAAAGTCATGCATTTGTATTAGTCATGGCTTTTAAGCTCGTTTGGAAAAAGAATTGCGATACTTCTATTCTCATGAGAGGAATTCTGTAATTAGTTATGGCTGATGGGTTGCTTGCTCTTGCAGCTATCAGCCTCCA